CTCTCTCTCTCTCTCTCTCTCTCTCTCTTTCTCTCTCAGAAATAAATAAAACATTAAAAAATAAAATAAAATAAAATAAAATAAAATAAAATAAAATAAAATAAAATAAAATAAAATAAAATGCATAGTCTCTCTCTCCACTCTTCCTCACCCTGACCCCCGCCCACCTGCCCCGATCTCGACGCAGGTGACACCCATATGCCCCTTCCCGCCTCCCTCCCTCCGGGTTACAGACCGGCTCTCATTCCACTTTTCTTTTGTTCTCTATAAGGCAGCAGGTCAGGTGTCCTGAGGATTAGTAACACCTGAGCGGGGCACTTCTCTCTGTAAATCAGGGGATGATCGAAGTGCCTGGGGGATAATCACAGCGCTTAACTCAGAGGTCGGCCCGTAGAGGTTTACCAGTTGATTAAGCAGCAAGAGGCAAATCAGGAGCACCTGGGAGGCTCAGTCGGTTAAGTGTCCGACTTCGGCTCAAGTCACGATCTCACGGTTTATGGGTTCGAGCCCTGCGTCGGGCTCTGTGCCGACAGCTTGGATCCTGTTTCAGATTCTGTCTCCCTTTCACACTGTGTGTGTGTGTGTGTGTGTGTGTGCGCGCGCGCGCGCGTGCATGTGTGTGTCTTGCTCTCTCAAAAATAAATGAACATTGGGGAAAAAAAAAAAGAGGAGAGGCTCAAAGAGTTTGGAGCAGGCTCAGGTCCCCAGCCCGCCCTAGCAGGGGGTGGAGCCCAGACCGAAACCCCAGGCAGCCAGGCTGATCATTCCTACAAGGGTCACACATAGTATTTACCTTTTATCTTTCCTTAACTGAGATCCCAGGCAAGTTGAATGCACGGGGCTGGAGATTTACTGAAGACATTCTTTCGTATTTGTTTCCCATTTCCCGTGGGGGGCGGGGGGGCACCGAGCACTTAGCTTTAAGGTGGGAGAGGACTTTGTGCCCAGCAAGAAGCTGGAATTTGCCAGCAATGTTTTCTGGCTTTTGTTCCTAAAACCAAGTCCAGATAAAGAAGATAGTTCCCCGGGCAACAGCGGTGTGATTTGGACAAACAAGAAGGAAGACAGCCCTGTGTCCTGAACAGAGAAGTTCCTGAGAGGCGAAGGGGCTGTGCTCTGTCACCTAGCGCAGAGCTACAGCCGATGTCCCTCCCGATGTGACAGGACGAGGCGTCCCCGCACTGCCAGTAATCGATGTCATGGAAACCCTCCTTCCCACCCAAGATAGGGGGGCGGCTAGAGGGAGGGTTTGCAACATCTTCCTGGAAGCACCAAGGAGCAGCAAGATGGTGAGGATAATCAGAGAAGAAGGAAACCCAGGAAGGGAAGGCTGCATTGAGGGCCTCCCCCGGGCTGGGAAGGTCAGTGGTATGAGATGGGGGAGCGCAAAGCAAGCACAGGCGGCAAACACCCCCCACTCCGGCCCAGGTGGGGTACGTGCGACATTCCTCAGGCTCCCGGTGCCGAAGCAGAAGGAAAGGGGAGAAACAAACGGTTAACCGATGGAGATCACAGTCCTGCGGGACAGGGTCTCCATCAGTTTACAAATATCTTAGTAAATTACAAGGAAAAGATGATCTTATCAACAGCCTGATCTCCAGAAACCTTTAGACGCAGTTTCCTGGAGCCCCAACATCGCCCTCCCCTCCACAGTGAGTGGGAAACCAAGGCAGAAGGAACTCAGTTTCCTTCTAACCTGCAGCCGGTTGGCACATACCGGAGGCAGCAGAGTAGAACATTCCTCCAGGAGCTCCCTAATGCTTAGCTGGAGGGAAGGACGACCTCAGCTTGACCACAGCCAGGCGTCCTGATCCTGAGAGTCTTTAGCCAATGAGAACCTCACTGGAAACTTCCCCTGGACTTTGCCTCCCCAGCTCCATAGTACATAACCAGTCTCTCCTCATGGTCCCGGGCAGCTCTGCCTGCCCCCCAGTCCTGTCTCCGGGGCTTTAATAAAATCCCCTCTTGGCACCAGAGCCGTCTTCAAGAATCCTTTCTTGGCCGTCAGCTCTGAAGGCCACCATCACTCCGAAACCTCATCAGCGCGGAAGAGACAGTAAGAGGCCCAGCTGCACCGTGTCAGCCTCCCAGGGCTGGGGGCCAAGGTCAGGAGGCCTGACAAACACTCCTCAGTGCGCACGCGGGGTTGGGCCCCCACGGGGTGGGTCTTCGCATAAAAGGTACACTTACAAGCCCCACCTTTCCTCCAGGTTATCAGCGTGGTGTCAAAAGTCTCCTGAATTTGTATTAAAGTAAATCTAGAATGCTGGATCCCCAGGCACCTGGAGAAGTCAAGGAAGTTCTCTCTGGAGGAAGGTAAAGTTGTCTAGCTCTCAAATTATGGTGGGGGTAATGGGAAGTCACTGGTAATGGGTACCAGGTTTCCGTGGGAGACGAGATCCAAATGTCCTAAGTTTCATTATTGTGATGGGTGCACCAGCTCTGTGAATAAACTTAAAAACATTGACTTGTACGCTTTAAACAGGGGAAATTTATGGTATGCAAATTATATCTGAATACATTTGATTGGTTACATCTCAGATTTCTGAAAAAATCTCAATGACCCTAGACTCTATATGCATTCTTATAGAACTTAAAATATGCATGGAGGGGCGCCTTGGTGGCGCTTCTGCTTAGCCTCTGACTCTTGATCTCAACTAAGGTCATGATCTCGAGGCTTGTGAGTTCGAGCCTCGCCTCAGGCTCTGTGCTGACGGTGTGGAGCCTGCTTGGAATTCTCTCTCTCTTCCTCTCTCACTGCCCCTCCCCGGCTTGTCCGCTCCTTCTTGCTCTCTCAAAATAAATAAACCTAAAACAATATGCATGGAAATATCATATGCGAACACAGAGCATGCGAATTGGGAAAATGGGAAGGTTAAGCAGATCTCGGGCGCTTGCATTGCGTGAGAAAGTAGAAAATAACAGTTAACGTTCTGTCCTAATAAGTAAAGGCGGAGTCTTGACATTTCTACGAAAACCACGATAGAATATTCAAGCTGACAGAGGGCCAAAACAGAATTAAAAGAACCTCAGTCAACTCTAAAAGACAAATACTGAGAAGGAAAAGAACACAGAAGAAGTTAGACAAATAAAGACATAGAGCGAGACAATGGATTTAAACCAGAGAGATCAGAAATTAGACTAAACTTACGTGGACCAAATATTCCAGTTGAAAGGCAAAGCTTATCTGAATGATTTTTCAAAACTTGACATTCTGTTTACAAGAGATCTATCTGACACTTAAGGATGCAGAAAAGTGGAAAGGAAAAAGTACGGAAAACATATATTAAGTGGACATTAACCAAAAGAAAATCGATAGGACTTGATTAATAATAGACAAAATCGCAAGAAAGGAAAAATCACTGGAAGATAGAAATAGTTTATAGTGATACAGGTTATACACACCAGGACAATATGACAACTCAAAGTTTGTATGCTCCTAGTAACACAGCCTCAAATGTCTAAGGTGAAATAGATGGAATTACACAGAACAGCAGAAAACTCACAGTCCGTGTGAGATTTCCATAACTGATCTAATAAGCATCAGTATGGATACAAAGACTTGAAATACACAACAGACCTGATCTAAGTGACATATGAGGAGGGTTGCATCCAACTGCAGAATACGTATTATTTTCAGACACGGATGACACATTTTTAAAGACTTGACCATGTTTTTGGCCATAAAACAAATCTTAATAAAATTTCATAGGGTTGAAGTCACGCATGATCTACGAATGCAAGGTAATTACGTTACAAATCAGTAACAGAAAGATAGCTCTGAATTAAATTGCTCACGTAAGTAATCCACAGGCCAAGGGAAAAATCCTCACGCGCCTTAGATCATATTTGAGCTGAACGGAAAGAAAAACAAGGGCGTGGAAACACTCGTGAGGCAGGTGCGCAGGGCTCAGAGAGACTTAAATTCAATAGATGCTTTAGAAAATAACTGAGGCTGAAAATTAATGAGCTGAACATTCATCTCCAGGATCTAAAGATAAGAAAGTAAGAATAAAACCAAAACAAATAGAAGGAAATCATAAAAATGAGCTCCTAGATGAAATAGAAAAGTGTGAGAAAATGCACAAAAACCTATATTAATTCTTTGAAAATACTTGAGGAGAAAGGGTTAAGTTGTTGAGCCCACTTCACCACCTCAGCAAAAATGTAGGGTTCGCAGGGCTCTGTTACAACCTGATGGAGCCAAGTGCCTAAGACAGGTGTTTCCGGCCAGGAGCCCAAGGCCAGCGCCCCCGGGAGGGGCTGGAGCATCTTCAGAGCTGGCACCCAGGGTCCGCCCAGCACCTCGCTCTTGATCCTGGCCTGTGACCCGGCCAGGGAAGGTGGGCTTCTAATTCCTCAGTGTCAAAGTCCCGCGGCCCCTGGGGGTTGAGCTCCTTCATGGCGGAACTTGACATCCATCCAGGTTCGATGGGGCTGCACTTGCACAGAAGGAGGGGCAGGTGGCTTCCGTCTCTCCGACTTCCCTCCGTACACGCGGCTCCCGCCAGCCTGGGCTGGCCCTTCACCCTTGTTTACGAGGACTCTGGAGAATCAGGAGCCGAAACGGGAGAAGAGGCACGGAAGCCAGATGGGGAATGAGAAGGCAGACGTTGCTGATCTTGGGGACACGACAGAGGGGGGGAGGGGGGGCGGCAGCTGGATGACCACCTGTGTCCATATGGGGTCCTATTCTCTGGAACTTGTTCCCTCAGGTGGCAAAGGGACTTTGCAGAGGGAATTGGGGATCTTGAGACGGGGGAGTCTCCTGTGTTGGGGGGGCCGAGCTACGGGGTGGGGAGCTGAGCTACGGGGTGGGGTGGCCGAGCTACGATTACAAGTGCTCTTACAAGAGGGGAACTAGAGTTCGAGGGGGAGCCTGATGGTGGAGGCAGAGCCCCAACGATGCTCTTTGAAGACGAGGGCAGAGGCCAGAAACTGGGGAGTGTAAGTGGCCGCTAGAAGCTGGAAAAGGCCAAGAAACGGATTCTTTCCGGGGACCCTAGAGAGAGCACGGCCGCGCCGACGCCTGGATTTCAGCCCAGTGAGATGCACTTTCACCTTGGCCTCCAGACGGCGAGAGAAGACATTCACGTTTGTGTCAAGCCACCGAGTTTGTCATGAGTCGTCACAACCGCTGTGGAAGAAATTGTGGCCTTTAGCACGAAATGGATACCTTTCTAGAAAAATACAATGCTCCGAAGCTGGCACGGAAAGAAAGAGAAAACGAAGCAATCTCATAACCGTGGCATCTAAAACTAAAATCCTTCCCACAAAGAAAACACCAGCTCCAGATGGCTTCACCAGAGAATTCTACCTCACATTTAAGGAACAAGCCTGCTTCCCCTCCGCCAACACTTGCAGAGAAAGAGAAGAGGAAATTGCACAGCTCACGTTCATGAGACCAGTTTGCTTCGACATAAAAAAAGAAAAAAGGACAACAGAAGGGAGGAGAAATTAGAGGCGAATCTCGCTCGTGAGTATGATGGTGGGTTCAACACTGGGAACTCCATTGTCGTTTGCCACGTTCACAGATTAAAGGAGAAAACTCAGGCTATTAACTTAATAGATGGACACAAGCATCTGATGGCGGTCAATATCCATTCATGAAATAAAGGAACTTAGACAACAATCTAAAGACATGGCTTCACCTGGTAAAAGACCCCTGCCCCCAGAATCTATAGAAGACACCTCTTTATTGGTAAAATGTTGAAAGCTTCCCTTTTCAGATCAGCAGCAAGGCAAAAATGCCCGCTGGCCCCACCTCTGTACGGCGCTGGCCTGGGGACCCCCAAAAGACCCCCGGGTTGGCAGGCAGCAAAAAGAAAGTGCTCAGGGGAACTGAAAATGAAGAAAGAATTTTGGCGCCGTTCACCGAGAATGTGATTGGCAGGGTGGGGACGTCGTTGCTATGGGTAAGTTATCAAGATTAGTAGGATCGTTCAGGAAGTCCGTATACAGAAATCAGTTGAATTTCTATATTCCAGACACAGAAAATGAGCATTTTAAAAGATGCCCCTTCAATGCCGGGAAAAATTGTGTGCTAATAAACGAGACAACAGGCCAAATGCACAGATTTATTGAAAGATCCACACTCTCTAAACTGACTCAAGAAAAGCTAGAAAATCTGTTTAAAAAAAATTTTCTTTAACGTTCATTCATTTTTGAGAGAAAGAGACATAAATAAACGAAATAAAAAGATTTCTATTTGTTCATAGAAATAAAATGATTTCTATTTGCAGATAACATGATCTTTTTTTTTAAATGTTTTTTTTTATTTTTGAGACAAAGAGAAACAGAGCATGAGTGGGGGAGGGGCAGAGAGAGAGGGAGACACAGAATCCGAAGCAGCTCCAGGCTCTGAGCCGTCAGCACAGAGCCCGACGCGGGGCTCGAACCCACGAACCATGAGATCATGATCTGAGCCGAAGTCGACGCTTTACCGGCTGAGCCACCCAGGGGCCCCAACATGATCTTATATATAGTAAATCCTGAGCAACTTGCTATCCACTAAGCTATTAGTTTAGTTATTGGAACTAATAAATGAGTTAATCAAGGTTTCAGGATACAAGATCGATATACAAAAGCCAATTGTACTTCTGTACACTGACAATGAACACTGTGAAAATAAAGTGATGAAAAAATTCATTTAGAACAGCATCAAAAAGAATAAAATACTGAGGAATATATTTAACAAAAGAAGTGCAAAACATATGCCCTGAAAACTATAAGAAATGGGGCGCCTGGGTGGCTCAGTCGGTTAAGCGTCCAACTTCGGCTCAGGTCATGATCTCAAGGTTCGTGGGTTCGAGCCCCGCGTCGGGCTCTGTGCTGACGGCTCAGAGCCTGGAGTCTGCTTCGGATTCTGTGTCTCCCATTCTCTCTGACCCTCCCCTGCTCATGCTCTCCCTCTTTCAGAAATAAATAAAACATTAAAAATAAATAAATAAATGAAAACCATAGGACATTATTGAAAGAAGCTGAAGATTATCTAAAGAAATGGAAACACATCCCATGGTCAGGGATTGGGAATAGTTAATATTACTAAGATGATAACACTCCCCATACTGGTCTGTAGGTTCGTGGAATCTTTATCAGAATCCTAGCTGGCTTCGCTGGTGTCTGACCTGAAATTTGCATGAACGTTCAGGGAACCAAATATCCAAAACGATTTTGGAAATGAAGAAAAAAGTGGGACGACTCCTACTTCTTGATTTCAAAATTTATCCCAAAGCGACAGTGACCACAGATCACTGTGGTATTGACAGAGGTGTAGGCATACAGATGAATGCAACAATGTTGAGTGGCCAGACACGAACCTTCACAATGGCGGTCGACTGAGTTTTGGCAAGGACGCCGAGACCAATAAATGGGAAAAGAATCGTGTCTTCAACAACCGATGTCAGCACGACTGGGTATCCACACGCAAAACAATGAAGCTGGACCCCTACCTCAAGTCTTATTGCTAAAAAAATTTAATTCAAACTCGATTGGAGACCCAAATGTAAGAGCTAAAGGGAAACATAAAGGTAAATCTTCATGACCTTGGATTCAACAAGAGGTTCTTAACTGGGACCCCCAGGTCACAGGCAATCAAGGAACAAATGGGTACAGCAAGACCTGATCAAGATGAAAAACTTGTGCTTCTTCAAAGAACGCCACCAGGGAAATGAAACGACAGGCCACTGAACAGTGTTATTTTGCACATCGCACATCTGATAACGGCTGGTATATGTCGTTGTACAGAAAAAATCCATTTTGTGTACCCATTCATCAGCTAACGGAATTTGGGTCGTTTCCACCTTTCTGTGCAGACCCTCCCACCCGTCTGGAAAGCCGCTGTTGGAGATCTGCTTACCCTCAGTCCGCACCACCGTGTCCTTTAGGAGGACTCAGGCCATCGATTTTACGTCCAAGAAAATTGCTCTCTCTGTTAAGTGAAAATTTTTTTTCAATAGCTTTGAGATCATTGCACACACACTACAATTTACCTATTTACAGAGTTCCGTGGTTTTCAGTGTCTTCGCAAGGTGCACAGCTATCACTGCAATCGATTTTAGAACATTCCATCACCCCAAAAAAGAAAAACCTCACACCCTTTAGCTATGACCTTCTCATACGCCCACTAATCTGCATTTTCCATCTCTACAAATTTGCTCGTTCCCAGCAGTTCTTACAGACGGAATCGTAGGATAGGTGGCCTCTCGGGACCTCCCTCATTAGCATAGTGGGTCCCAGGGTCATCTGTACAGCAGCCTGTGTCAGCACATTCTGTGTGTCAGTCGATGGCCATCGGGGTTATTTTCCCTTCTCGACTATTACGAATAGCAAGGCTGTGAACATTCATACACATTCACGTGCAAAACCGGAGCTGCTGCCCCTCCCAACGTGAGCTCTCTCTGTCTCGGAGAGAGACTCCTGTCTGCCTCCCAGGCCTGGAGAGAGAAGGGGGCTGGCTGCACTTCTGTGCGGAGCGAGGTGTTTGCTGACTGCCCCGGACTCCTGGGGGCCTGCCTCGCCGCCCCCCACCCACGCATACCCCAGAGGCTGGCGGGGTGGGGTGGGGGTGCCCAGGATGGTCCACGCAAGCCGTTTTCCAGCCCCATCTCCCCTCCATCCAAAGAGGCCCCTTCTCTAGGAACAGCCCCAAATCAAAGAGCGTGCTGAGGCCAGAGGAGAATTTCAGGCTCCAATTGATGATCCCTTTGGTGGCTTTAAAAATAGGCCAGCGCGATGCGCAGAATGTGTTAAGGCCAGGATTAGCATAATATGGTAATTGGCTCTGGGGCCCCGAGCCGGCCCCTGGCCTTTGGGCAAGTCCTCAGGTTGGAGCCTCCAGCAGCCAAACACTCGGGTATCTAAAGCAAAGCGGTGGCACCTTGGCAAAGCCAGCCTTGCACGCTGCTCGGAGGGAGGATGAGCAGACAGGGGCCCCAGGGGCTGCGCGGGCCGGGCCAGCACTGCGCTTTCAGCCACGCAAGCAAACGCCCGCCTGGCAACCCGAGCGGCGGGCCAGAGATACATGGAAAATTTGGGGAATATAATTAACGCGACGGTAGTCCTTTGGGCCCGCAGAGTTCAATCTGCAGAAGCAACGTTTCAGGCCGGGCTGTTTATCACCCCGCCGAGGCCGGTCACACAGAGATAACGGAGAAGCCGATGTGCGGTTCTGGCGGTGATTCATCTCGATGACAATCCCGGGTTGTGTTTAAGGAGCATCGTGACCAGACGTGCCGTGCAAGATGGATGTGTCCCGTTTGACAACTGGCGTCGAGCGCTCCCGATGAGAGTCGGAGAGCCCTGACGCGTCCGTGCAGCTGCCAGACACCGAGGCCGCCCCAGAAGCACGACCCAGTGGGCTCTGGGGCCCAAGCCTGGGGTTCTGCGGTCAGAACCCGGCTGCTGTCTGCCCCCCTGGAGGGGAAGAGGCTCCCCACCTCTGAGGTAACCAAGGACAGAGTAAAACTCTAGAGATGGCAGGCGATGCTGCCAGTTGCCTAGCCAATAGCCACTTTTGGCCAGAGCCACAATGGCCCATTGAAAGCACCTCCTGTCTCCCAGCCTCCCCTGCAGCCATGGGTGGCCCTGTGGCCCCCTTCTGGTTTAAAAACGTGTGAAAGTCCCTGGGGGGTGGCTTCTAGAAAAGCTTTGTTAAAGTACCAGAGTTCGCTGCCCTCTCCTGTGTTTTGATTTTTGTGTCCTTCCTCCCACCTGGAATACAGAGGCGGCGTCTTGATCTCGGCAGCCATTTTGTGACCATGAGGATCATAGCCACAGACTGAGGAGGACAGAACGGAGGGACCCAAGGAGCCGGGGCTAACTCGGCTGAAGCCCACCTCTGGGCCTTTCCGCGAGACAAAACAAGCCCCTCGCTGGCTTAGCTGGGCTCAGGGCGAGAACTGGTGCCGTAGGATGTTCTCCGTGTGGAGTTCAGGTGCGGCACGTGGCTGGACGTGGCGGTCTGGACTCCGCAACACTCACTCGTTTGCAGTGAGCGAGGCCTCCTGGGGTGAGGGAAGAGGGCCCTCCACAGCCGCTGGCTGTACTTCATCTCTACCCTCCTCCTCCTCCCCCTCCTCCGCCACCGATGCACATTTCAGCGCCTGGCTTCGTTCCTTACCCACACGGCCGGGCTCCTTCCCAACAACCCCTCCTGCGGCTCTTCTCCCTCCCCCTCCTCCACCCTCCAGCGCTGCCTTAGTGCAAGCGTCTGTGGTGTCCTGCCTGGGCCAGGACAGACCCCTCCTGTGGCCCGCCCCGCCCCCACACGGCCTTGCTCGGCCGTCCAAAGCCTCGGCGCTCTTCGCTTAGACCCTTCAGTGCCTCCCCCACTACCCACCTGTGAAGCCCAACCTCCTCCGTGTCGGCCATAGACCCTTTATGATCTGGCCCCTGCCGGCCTCCCCGACTGGATTTCAGGCAGCACTGCAGGCATTTCAGATGACGAGCCCCCACCTGAGTGAGTCACATTCTTCCCGGCTGTGGAGCTTTGCTTTTCTCTCTTCCTCGAATGCCTTCCCCCCCAGCCTTGGGCGGGAGCTCCTACTCATCCGCCGGAGCCCCACCAAGCGCGCCCTCCGGGATCAGAACCGCTTCCAGCACCTTCCAGTTGTGATGCTCTACTTGAGCGGGGTGGGTTGCGGGACTCGGCAAACTGTAGCAGAGTGAATCTCTCCACGCGCACGCCCCCACCGGGCTCTGGGGGTGCTCGGTAAGACCCCAAGGGAGGCTGGGAGGGCGGGCGGATGGGTCGCTGGGTGCGCCGCGCCCCTGCGCCCTCCTCCTTCCCTGCCTCCATAGCACGTAGCGCCATCTGCATCGCAGGCTGACTTGTGGATGGGTTTTCGCCACCTCTCCATCGAGGATGCCGGCGCCGTGAACAAAGGTCTGTTCTGCGCGCGGCTTCGTCCTCGGGGCCCGGAACGGCCGCACACGTGTGGTCAGCTGCTCGCCACGGAGCAAACGAGGCCAAGGTCTGGGGCAGAGGCTCCGGCCGCCCCACCCGGCCCAGGGCACCTGCCGTGCCCTCACACGGTGTCTGCAGGATCGAACGGAAACAAAGGCGGCACAAAAGAGGGACGGGTGACGGGACTCAGGGCCAGGCCAGGTCCAGATGGGGAACAAGGTCTCCCCTGCGGCGTCTGGAACTCTGGGCGAGGGCGTTGCACCCTATGTTTTCAAGCCTCAGAGCATGGGGGCAGGAGGAGGGAGAGTCAGAGGAATAAGGCTTGGGTGAAGGCTTCCTGGAGGAGGTGACGTAGGAACTGGGCCCAGGAGGATGTGCAGGACGAGACCGGCAGACACAAGCTCAGAGGGGCAGGGGGGCGGGGAGGAAAGGAAGGCAGGGGCGGGTTTGGGGGAGTCCTGAGTGCAGTGGTCGGAGGCGTGAGCAGCAGAGCAGACAGTTGGGAACCAGCCCACTTAGGAAATCTGAGGAAGGACCCAGAGAGGCGTCTGGAAGGACCGAGGACGGGCTGACACGGCTCCCGGGAAGGTCACGAGTCGCGGGCTCCCCATCCTGCTGACCGCCGGCCCCTGAAATGATTGCAGGGACGGGCTCGACCCCAAGGACTCGCTTCCCAGCCGTGGAAGGCGGTGTGTGCGCGGAGTGAGGCGCAGCCACGGAGGGTGGGGGAGGCCCCGGAGGGGCTCTGGAGGCGGGACCGGCCCCCGAACTGCGGCGGCCACGGACCACCCCACCCGACGGAGCTTCGTGTTTGGAATCCCGATGACACGAACAGGCCCTGAAATCCACGGGCTGCAAGGGATAAACCCCGCCGGGCGGGGGGGGGGGTGACAGAATGGGGGGGACCGCCAGCCCTCGTCCCGCGGGCCGAACCGCCCCCTGCAGTCCGGCAGAACGGGGGCCGCGGGGCGCTGGGCGGAGAAACCCCAGGACACCTGGACGTGAGGACGGGGTGCCAGCGAGCCCCAGAGGAGCCGGGGGAAGGGGGCACGGGTCGGCCGCGGGGCTCCTGTGCCCGGGGCTGAGAAAGCCAATCTCCGTCGCCGGCTCGGGCTTCTGGGAGGGAGGGGACCTGGGAGCCTCCGGGTACCCCGACCCCCTGCTCCAGGCAGAGCCAACAGCGGTGACCCGGAGCCCCCCTGGAAAGGCCCCCAGGCTGCCGGGGCTGCCCCCCCCCAACCCCAGGCACACATAACTGGAGGCGTGGAGGCGGCCGGGCTCGGAGGCGGTTGCTAAGAGACTGACATCTCAAGGCCAACCTCCAAATGGGAGGCTAAGACTCAGTCAGAACCCGGCCTCCTTCCGTGGCCCACGGAGGCTTCAGAAACCAAATCCCCAGGGGCCACCTGCGGCTTGCGGGGAGCCGGAGGGCAGAGCCGGCCGCCAGGACCGGGGGCTCGGCCGACACGGCGCAGACCTCAGAATGGGCACCGACAGCGTCCCCCCCACATCCTCCTTCCGCGGGCAGCCTGGGGGACAGCGGGTGGCGGAGCTGTGTGCACCCAGGGCGGCCCCATCAGTGCCCCGGAGCCCATCCCAGCACTGCGGGAAGGTCGCCCGCGGGCATCAGCGGGACAAGGGTCTCCCCGGGCGCCAGGGCTGACCGTGCACTCACAGGACGCACGCGGGGCCGCGTGCATACACACATCCGCACAGACACTAACATTGGGGCACATGTGCACACCACCTGGACGCACACACAGGAGAAGATGCACGCGCACAGCACACACACGCACGCGCACAGCTGGGCCTCCCCAGGTATATTTCTATTCCAAGATGTCTCCTTCCGTCCCCTCTCAGCTACCGTGTGCTTTGTCCAGAAAGCCCTTAACATCCCGTCTAAAATGTCAGGTTTATCAGAAATACTGTTGGGGCTCCTGGGGGGTTCAGTCCATTGGGCATCTGACTCCGGCTCAGGTCATGATCTCGCGGTTCGTGGGTTCGAGCCTCGCGTCGGGTTCTGTGCTGACAGCTCCGAGCCTGGAGCTGCTTCGGATTCTGTGTCTCCCGTTCTCTCTGACCCTCCCCTGCTCACGCTGTCTCTCTCTCTCGGTCTCGAAAATAAATAAACATTAAAAAAAATTAGAAAGACCATCCCTGTAACCTTCAGGTGAGGAAACCGCGAGCTCCTCACCGAGCGCCGTAGGCGTCTGTGGCTGCAGCTTCAGCGGCCGAATGCGCGTCTAGAACGCCAGCTCTTCAAAGTCAGAAACCGAAGCTTTCCCACGTGTGCACCCAGCACTCGGCCCACAGCAGGGTCTCACCCAGTGTCCTTCACGGGTCCTAGGCTGATCCCCTCTCTCTGCCTCTCCTTTTGGAAAAGATAACGATTTTTTGCTCATTTTGCTTATTTTTTTCCATGCGTTTTGTTGTTTTTAAGTGAAATATCATAATGTTCTTTACAGCCGTTTTCTTCACAATGATCATTCAGCTTGCTCCAAGCCTCAGTGCATAGCGGTAATATTTCTAGAGGGTCTCAGATCAAAATTTATAATTTAATCTTTGGGGGTGCGGTCAAGAGCACCAAGTGAGCAAATGACGCTCGGTATGTTCCTGGGGGTCCGTGGGAACTAGAGGGTGGGGATTCTCCAGGAAAGTCTGAGGACAGACTTCTGGCCTCTCCTGGAGTCCCCCCCCCATTCTGCCCTGGGGCCGGCCCCCACCTCCTCCCTCCTAGCTGGTACCCACCCGCGTGAGGGGTCCTGGAGGGTCCCGACTGACTTGCCCCTTCCCCACGATGCTTTGCTCTGGCTTTTCTGGATGGGAAGGCCTCCCGGCACCGAGTGTCCCAGGAATGAGTGGTTCCTAGGGTCCCTCCGGGTCTCTGGAAAGAAGCACATCTGCATCTTCAGGGGGAGACTAACGGCGTCAAAGGGACGTGGATGCCCCAGCCTCCTGAGCATCCCGTCTCCCTAGATAAAGAAGCTGCAGCGCCTCCACCAGCCACGGTCCCCTCCTGGCGGGAGGGCCGTTTGTGCCGAGCAGGACCTGACCACAGTCACTGCCCTGAGCGGGCGCCTGGGGGTCTTAGGACTCATGGCCGACGCCCAGGCGAACGAGTTCCAGGCCGGGACCAGCTGTACAGATTCGACGTCCGGCTCCGTGGCCAGCGCGAAGTGACGTGGCTCCTCCGAGCCTCCGTTTGCTCGTGTGCGTCGTGGGAACGTCCACGAGCCTGTTTACCTGGAGATAAGTCAAGAAAGTGGGTGGCGATTGGTCGAGGTCTTCAGGGCCATGAGACTCTGGATGGTGGAAGCTTCCAGAAAACGCTCATGCAGGAGTTCCCCCCACGAGGGTGCAGTTGTGTGCGCACAGGGGTTGGGCGGGAGCTCCTGCAGGGGTGGGGTCCGACCTCGTCAGCAAGGGCAGGGCTGCCCGGAGAGGGGAGGAGCTCTGCAAGCCGAGGCTGGAGGCCCTGACACCTCTCTGGGCTTCGAACGCCTGCTAAGTGCCTTCTCCGCACCCGCTAGGCCACTCCCCCCTCCATGGTGCAGGGGCCCCGTGGACCCATCCTTCGCGGCGCCACCTGAGTGTCCTCAAGTGCAGGGCGGTGCTCCCTGGCTCGCAGGGGGTGCTCAGCAAACATGCAGCGGAACAAGAAGCCCACAGGCTGGGAGGCAGTGCGGTGCAGAGGCCAAGGGTATGGCCTTTCAGGTCCCACAGTGTCCGGCAGAGAGCAGATACCCATGAGATACTGAATGAATGATTCAGCCCACGAATGAATGAACGATTGAACAGGACAGATCCCGGTCTACATTCCTTGGTGAGTTATTTCACCTTAATGGGACTCAGTGTTCTCATCAATGAAATGGGGGTAATAACATGCATCTTGTAAGAACACGTTTGTAGAAATGTAGCATGCTGGGGGGCGCCTGGGTGGCTCAGCTGATTAAACGTCTGACTCTTGGTTTATGCTCAGGTCATGCTCTTGAGGTTCCTGAGTTCGAATCCCATGTCAGGGTCTGTGCTGAACATGCGGAGCCTGCTTGGGGTTCATTCTCTTCCTCTTTCTCTCTGCCCTTCTCATTCTCTCTCTCTTAAGTAAATAAATCAACATTAAAAAAAATTTTTTTTTAATCTAAAACAAATGTAGCGTGCCTGGCCGAGGGTCCAGCACATGAGAGGTACAGCAATTTTTACTTTACCTCAGTTCCCCCGAATGGTTTGATTCCCTTGC